ACGCTAATAATAAATGCTTAATAAACTAAAAAAATAAAATAAAAAGAAAATAATAATTAATGCTTATTAAAAAAAAAACCTAATATATCTTACGATATATATAATTATTAATGTAACAATATCATCAAATGAACAACAAAAGAACCTACTAAACAAGATCTCACTTCATATCAATGATAAACTTTAGCTAATCAACGTAACTCTATGAAAAAAAAAAGTTTATTATGTCCCCAAAGCTTGTTCATCTCATCTAAATGCTTGACCGGATCTGAAATTAATTGTCTTATAAATCAAATAAATTTCAGAAATCATCTTTATAAGGTTATTTATTTAATTAGCTCGTCAATATTTAAAGAAATCACGCTCAAAGATTCAATGACTATTAAAATTTTGAATCCAGAGTATACCATCCATATCAATATCCAGTGAAATTTTTAAATCAAATTTTTTTAAAAAAAAAATAATAATCTTTCCCTTTACTCTCGTTTATAAAATGAAATCACACTTTATTGTTAATAAAAATGATGTCGATACAGGAAGCAGTTATAAATCATTATTTTATTTAGGGTGTAACGATAATAAATAATGCTCCGACGTTTAGTAATCGAACCTATCACGTGATATTAGTTGAAATTATCAAAATTTTTATTTTACTATATATTTCAGTGTGTTAAATACCGCCTCTTTCGAAACAAAAAGAAAATTTAAGTCCTGCAGAGGATGAAAAATGTGATGCAGAAAATTTACATGCATCTTTGATGCTAATGATAAAAATCACAAAAATGATCTGGCGATATGTTAGATGATTTTGATGGTGATAAATCAGGTGGTAGTAATGATAGTGATGGTTTCGTCAGTTATTCTAATGAAGGTGTTGGTGGTGGTCCAGTTGACCATTATCCGAGCATTTCCCAACTTTCACAACCATGTTCCAAACATGCCCAACTTTATCCCTGCACAGCGCTAGTCTATATGCATCTAGAAATGCTAAATAAAAGGAAAATTTACTACCGAGAATCCAATGCTATAATTAATAATTTTGTGGTAATTTATTAATAAAAATTTAAAGACTGCAGCATACATATATTAAAATAAGAAATTAGTTAATCCTACTTCATTAGGGTATGGATATTTTAAATTATTATTGTAATTGGTGAACTTAAATTTTTTTAAGAATAAAGATAAATTTCAATTCTTAATATAAAATTTTTTAAGAATAAATATAAATTTTGAAATATTAGGTAAAAACCAATTCTTAACGTTAATATAAAATTATTAAAATAATATTAAAGATAAAAATTATTTCTACTAAATTTTGATAGAATTATAAAAGAAAAAAATATATGTATCTAATAAAAAAAGTTGGGAAATAATAATTTACTCTTATAAATTCAATCTCCATTTCCCAACAACTCCTTCATAAGCGAAATTTCCAACGTTATACATCGCTACCCTAAGATCATTATCAGTTCAATACTATAATTATTAAACGTAAGAATAAAATTATTGAATTAGTAAATTTATCGAATTATCAGAATCTCTTAAAAGTTACTCAACGCTATTTACTTTGATGATAAATGACCATCCCCAAAGTCGACCGATCGGTAGACATGTTATTGTTATATTTTTCACCATAGACACCAGGTCATATACTATAATTATTAATTAAATGTAAAAAATATTTTAATTAGTAAATTTATCGAAATATCATATTTCTTTGAAATTGTTCAACGTTATTTACTTTGAAAATACAGTGAAGGTCCATCATCAAACACGCCCGATTCTTGTATGGTCGGTAATCGCATACTTTGGTCGACCATAAACGAAAGCTCATATACTATAATTATTATATGTGAAAAAAATTATTTAATTAGTAAATTTATTAAAAATCATAATTCCTTAAGTTTCTCAACGATATTACTTTGACGATATAGTGGAGGACCTTTTTCGAACACGACCATTTCTTGTATGGTTGGTAGATGCATATTATTGTGATATATAAAAATTTGGGTTTATTTTTGAGGAGTTATTTATAAAAAGTCCGAATTTTTTTTGAGCAAATATGGACTTATTTTATGCCG